CGAGCCCACGCAGGAAAACTAGTGGCAGAACGCTCGCGAGTGATGGTGTTGAGGGTGGATTGCGGTGGTCTTGCCCTCGACGCGGTGGTAGATACGGGAGCCACTCGCAGCTTCGTGAGCCCGGCGCTGGCACGACGCTTGAGAAAGCCAGGTGGGGAGAATGTACGCAGTGTAGAGGTGTCGATGTCGATGGCCAACGGCTCGCGACAAACTGTTTGCGAGGAGACGATGACGGCGATAACAGCGGACGACAAATGCATCTCGATACCACTGTTAACACTGCCGGGCTGCGAGGACGAGCTCTCACTAGGGCTGGATTTCATCAGGAAGGCCTATGGTACGCTCACCGCCGGCAGCCACAAGCTGGAGATGCGAGATGTGCGTGAGCGACGACGGCGGAGAAGGCGTCAGGCGCGCCGCAGAGTACGATGTGCGGCATTGGTGACCACAGAGCCAATTGCTCCATCGGCGGCTACGCTGACAGATGAACAGGCTGCTCAGGCTGCCACGTTCCTTCAGGAGGAATTACCACGCTTTGAGAACATTGTGGGCGTATCGTCGGTGGCGACACACACGATCCGCGTGAAAGACGACAGGACCATTAAACAGCGCTACTATCCGAGGAATCCGGCGATGCAAGCGGTAATTGACAACGAGGTTGACGAGTTGCTGAGCGGTCCGATAGCGCGTACAGCGCGCCCATAGTCCTGGTACGCAAGAAGAATGGGGCGTGGCGAATGTGCATCGACTACCGCCAGCTGAACGAGCGCTCGGAGCCAGACGCATACCCCATTCAGAGGATCCAACATATTCTCGAACAGTTACGACAGGCAAAGTACATCAGCAGCATCGACTTGCGAAACGGTTATTGGCAGATCCCCATGGAGCCCGACAGCCGTAAATACACCGCCTTCACAGTGCCCGGACGGGGCCTTTTCCAATGGCGAGTGATGCCATTTGGCCTGCACTCCGCCCCAGCCACCTTCCAGCGGGCGCTAGATAGCGTCATCGGCCCGGATATGGCTCCACACGCGTTTGCCTATCTGGACGACATAGTTGTGGTTGGGAAGACATTCGAAGAACACCTATGTAACCTGAGGGAGGTGTTTCGAAGACTGGTGACAGAAGACGGGATACAGACGGATCCAGAAAAGGTGGCAGCCATACGTGAGCTGAAGCCCCCGGCCAACCTAAAACAGCTGCGGCAGTACATCGGGATGGCCTCGTGGTACCGCCGCTTTGTACCCAATTTCGCCACAACGGTAGGCCCACTCACCGAGCTGTTAAAGAAAGGCCACAAGTGGAGTTGGGGAACACCGCAGCAGGAGGCATTTGATTGTATCCAAAGACAGCTCATGGAAGCGCCGGTGTTAGCGTGCCCCGATTTCACACAACGCTTCTGCCTACAGACTGACGCCAGCGAGTATGGGCTGGGCGCGGTTTTGACACAGAACGTAGACGGCCAGGAGCACGTGATTTCCTACGCCAGTAGGAAACTGCAGAAAGCAGAGGTCAACTACAGCGCCACGGAAAAGGAGTGCCTGGCCATTGTTTGGGGAATCCGAAAGCTGCGACACTATCTGGAGGGCTATCACTTTACCGTCGTGACCGACCACTTGGCGTTGCGATGGCTTAACTCAATTGAGAGCCCCACCGGCCGCATCGCACGCTGGGCTTTGGAGCTGCAGCAGTACACCTTCGATGTCCAGTACCGAAAAGGAGCCTTGAAAGTGGTGGCCGACGCACTGTCACGACAACCACGCGAGGTGATCGGCCGTGCACACGTGGAGTCAGAGACAGCACCAACTTGTAAATGGTTGCAGCGGCTGACGGCAGCGGTGTTGGAGAGTCCCAGCAAGTACCCAGATTACGCCATACAGAACGACAGGCTGTACCGCCGCATCGCTCACGTGCTAGGAGAAGATGAGGTGTCACCATGGAGGCTATGCGTGGCCGCGCCTCTACGACAGGAGGTGTTGAGAGAATGCCACGACGACGCAACGGCGGGCCATATGGGAGTAAGCCGAACCTGTGCACGCGTTGCAGACAGATACCACTGGCCTGGTCTGTATCGCGACGTAGCGAAGTATGTGCACCAGTGTCTGTTGTGCCAACGCTATAAAGCCCAGCAACAGCTGACGGCAGGCAAGATGCACTTCAAACCAGCGGAGGCAGCGTGGGACGTCGTCTGCGCCGATTTTGTGGGGCCGCTGCCGCGGTCCAAACGAGGCAACGCGTATCTACTGGTCCTGGTCGATAAGTTCAGTAAATGGGCAGAACTGGTCCCCATCCGCAAAGCGACGGCAGCGGCAGTGAAGCTGGCCTTGCGAGAGCGGATTCTGGCACGGTTTGGCACACCAAGAAAACTCATTACAGACAATGGAGCCCAGTTTACGAGCCGCGCGCTGAAGCAGTTCCTCGCCGAGGCAGGCATACGGCAACAACTGACGGCACCATACACACCTCAGGAGAATCCCACGGAGCGGACCAATAGAACGGTCAAAACATTGATTGCTCAGCTGGCGGACGGGCAGCACAACACGTGGGACGAACAACTGCCGGAAGCACAATTGGTCATTAATACAGCAATTTCAGACGCAACGGGCTATTCACCGGCTTTCATCCTATTTGGGAGAGAACCACGGCATCCACACACACTGTACGGCAGGGATCCTGACGCCCCTGAGGAAGCACCAGGTAGCCCAGAACCACACGCGACGCTGCTACAGTTTGTTGCCCGCATAGCAAGAAGAAACCAAGGGGTGGCCAGCGAGGATCAGGCGCGCCAGTACAATCTGCGGAGACGCGAGTGGCGACCCAAACTGGGCGACGAGGTGCTCGTGCGACAACATCACCTGTCCAACGCAGCCGAGCAGTTTGCGGCCAAGCTGGCGCCTCGCTTCGATGGACCATTCACAGTGCGAGCATTCATATCCCCAGTTATAGTGCGTGTGCGACCAGTAGCGGGCGGCAGAGGTAGAACGGCACATGTGCGGGATCTAAAAGCGGTGAATGCAGAAGACAGCGAAGCCGACGAAGGCAGCGACGACAGAGGCAGCGTTAGTATGGTCACCGGGACCACGCCACCGACAGCTTCACAGCAGCCACAGCACCAATCTCCGCAGACGCAGCGGCAGTCCGGGCAACTAGATCGGCCATGTCAACGAACACGACGAAAGCAGCCGCGGTCGCAACAGCCGCACGACAGCCAAGACAGCAGTTACAGCAGCCAGGGCCCTATTGGTCACACTGACAGCAACAACAGCAATGCAACTGGCGTCCACTTAAGCGGGACCGGCAAAGTGGCCGTTCTGGCCGAAGAGGACACCCATGTAAGCATAAGACATAATTAGACAAAACTTGTTGTTACGTTTCAGGCCTGAAATAGCCCAGGACCGGAAACCAAGCACAACATAAACATGTGGGCGGTGATGTCGAGTTGCCAGAGCGATAGGTGGCCGTCGATAACGAGTTATCGTGGAGATGCGATAAGTGGCAGCACCGACCACTATCGCTGCGAGTGGTAACACCGACGATAGACCGCCGGGCATGGGTAGCACCGCGAGAGGTGGCAGCGCTAATCAAACAGCTGGCACAACAGCATTACACGAGGAGACCGGCGCGTCGAACGGCAAAATTGAAGAAAAATAACATAAGGCCAAAGGGGAAAAAACGACGAAACATGGACGCGATAAAGGGCTACGACGATCTGGAAGAGTGGTGCAGGCTGCAAGAACAGATGGCATTCGACCGGGACCCCCGGAACTGCCAGTTTCGGGCGCCCGCCCGAGCAAGCTCACCGACGCCGGCAGACAACCGACGTCGCCGCTGTAGGCACCGGGGGGGGCCGTCGAGTGAGAGAGCGACGCCAACGGATGCAGCAGGCAGAACTGGAGGAGCAGCAGCGAGAGCAACGCCAACGGGCACAACAGGCGCGGCTGGAGGAGCAGCAGCGCGTTGAGAGGCTGCGGCGTCGGGAGCAGCGACAACGCGAGCAGCAGCAGCGGGTGGAAGTAGCCATGCGAGTTGTGGAGGCGCGTCTGATATACGCCAGATGCCTGCAGGAGCTGAAACGGCTGCATGCAGTGGGGCCGCAGGTGGCACAGCCGCAGGTCTATTGGCCAGTGTTCATGGCGTGGGGCAGAGAGCTCGATGGCACAGCGAGCGAGCAGCCGATGGTGGTGCTGGAGAGGTGCTGCGGCTCCACAAAGCCCCTTGCGTGGGCAATGTTCACACCGGCGGAGGCGCATGGCTTACGACGGATGACCGAAGAAGGAAGGCTTCCGATGGTGGCGTTGGCAGCCACCCCCCTCGACCGGATCGTGTTCCGCTCAGGAAGGGGGGACGTGTAATGACGCGTTGCATAGCGGGCAGCCGCGCGTCATTACGAGTAGTCGTAAGAACGAGTAGAGACTAAGAAGCCACGAAGGCAAGTAATTTTAAGTAGTTTTAGTTTGTTCTTGGCTCTCGCCCAACACGCACTGAAGCGCGGGCAGTTTATTATTTTGTTTAAGAATAAAACACGTGGAGGAACTTTGGCAGACCGCCCTCTTTCATTTCGTTGGACACCTCGGCACTTTGGGGTGCCTAATTTACTAATTTATTACAGCATACTCTGGCCGGCGAGCATACCCGCGGCAGAGTAACAACGTTACACTATCTCTTATAGTCTCTAAGATCCAGATCTTATAGTCGTGAGATACATAAATCGACTCGTCTTGTCATGCTGATCAAGAATATATATACTTTATGGGGTCTGCCACGCCTCCTGCTGTCTGGTAAAGTTTTCATCTCCCGCAAATCTAATATACTCTTGTACTTTTTATGTACTGAGTATAAAAATTAACAAAGTTGATCTGCCTAGTGCTTAGGGGAACCTGGATACCAACTTTGGTAGTTCTTCAGAGATTGCACTAAGTTAGTATACACTTTTACCCTTTGGGTACATATTTTAATTTCAATATAAGGTACATTTAAATTATGTTGAAGTTATTGTTATATCAGGTTAGCATACAGACTCAAGTAAATTTATTATATACATACATATGAACATACATACATACAAGTATATGTACACGTATACGTTAAATATTTTGTCATATTTCTAATAAATTAAAATCTTAAAGTTGAAGTTAATAATCACTCTCCAAAGAATCAGTGAAAGGATAGGGGCGGATAGCAAAACATTAAAGGAGGAAGCAATGGATTGACCACTGCTCCGTAGACTAGTATAACTATCAATAATGTGAATTTTCCAGCCCATATAACCATGCGTAAAGGAATTATAATAAACCGTGTCCGGCCATGTGATGTTGGGCGTAATCTCAAGTAATGCTGGCGGCTCATCACTGCATATGTTTATCAGTGAACGATTAAACTTTTTAAATGTCGGAAAATCATCGTCTAAGCGCCTATCATAGTTTGGAGGATAACGCGACAAGCATAATGGACCTGCGGCAGTGGGCTTCGGCCGTCCCCGACGCGTGAATTCGACACCTGCCAATACGCGTATCTCGCGCTGCTTGGCATCAGTCAAACGGTCGTAGCCACCCTTCGGCTCGTCCGTGATGACCATCGGATGATAGTACTCTGGTGAGTGCGGATTATTGCCACCTCGTACGTTAAAGGTGTATGAAAGGCCCCGTTTTAAAAAAAGCTCTGGTATCATGTAGCCGTTTATGTACCAGGCCAAACCATTGGACACATGACCAGTAATACCGCGATAGCCGCGCAAATTACCTGAGGGACCCAAGAAGGCATTGAATGTGCGAACAGTTCTGTAGAAAAATAGGCACGGTAAAATTACTAATGTGGAAACATTTTCTTTGCTTACTTACGCATCAGTTATTCGTGAACGCTCCCATGCCGGCAGTGGTGTGTTTATGGGTTTTGTAAAGCTAAAACAATCATTGACTGGTTCTGTTGTATTGAAATTAATAACAATGTCACTCTTAGGATAAAAAGTGTGAAAAGTTGGCTCGTTGTTTGAGTCTAATTGGCCAATGGCCCAAACAACATAGTTACCGCGATCCATCAAAATTTCTTTGTCGCCATCATCAGCTGCAAACGGAAAATTAAATTTAAATTGATTTATTAGATTTAGACTTACAAGATTTAATAATTCGCCTGCAGCTTATTGTATTAATGCCATCTTTGCGACTATAAGTATTTAGTTGAAAACTATCCAATCCGCCGACAATGATATCCCGGCATACGCCCTTATTCCTTCCCAATACCTGCACACATGGTGACAGCGCTGTTATGTTATAGTCAACTGTATAGCCGCGTATGTCATCTATATAGGCAACTACCACATCTGCACCAATCATTTGGCTCGAGCTATCTGAACCTGAGAGACCAAACGACATGTATTCCGTTTGAGAAACTTGGCCTGATAACTGAAAAGTAATTTGTGGACCAAACACCTCCCAAGAAATTTGCAAGTCTTTGTGTAGCTGTCGGCAATTGGGTAGCGAGAAATCATAAGGCGTAATTTGGACCAGTGAAGGCGGCACGTTCAAGTTGTCCGGTATTAAAACATGACCGTAGTTCACATTATTGTCTAAATCGTAAACACTTATCCAGTCTATATCGAATATGGTCTTATCTCCTGGCAATTCCAATATAATCGTTTCTTTGTTATATGTACGTATGGTATCCAAGCTATGATAAAAACGATAAAATATTAAATGAAATAAACAGTGTGTATATCTTACTAGCCCCGTTCGTCTGGCACTTTACTTCCACGACTTGAAGGTTGCGACCCAACGCCTATCCAGAAAAACGTTTGTTTTGCACGACCACTATATGTAAATTCCTTAAGTCTTATAGTCTTTGAATCTAATACATCAATGCCAGCGCTGCTTATGTTATTGCTGCGACTTGAAAAGGTACCTCCAATTTGCGTATGAGGAGGTTCAAAATCCTCAGGTATATAAATATCACCAAAGTTGTTCTGATTGTTAAGGTCATACACGGCTAACCATTTAATTTCGGTCATCTTTTTGCGATCAGGCAGTGTCAACGTAAAATCTTTGTTGTGATAGCGATCCAATATATTAGTCCTATATAAAACTGTAATTATTAACAAATTTATAACAACATTAAATGAATCGAATTTACTTTCCAAACTCGTCAGGCACTATAAATCCCTGCGGTCCAGGTCTGTTGCTCGCTCCTGCCCAAAAAAAAGTATCTGCACCATTCCCATCGTAGTTGAAGCCAACCAGTAGAAAAGTATACTCATTGACAGCATATACATCACCAGAAACTTGGTGATGATAGGAATTTATCTTGCCCAAATATTTGCCTCGATAAGGTCCCTCATCGTTTTCGCCTGTAACATCTGTTTGAGAGAGATAATGAATAAGAGAGTTAAAAGAACAATTATTTTTTCCTTCTAAGGGTACAAACATAGTGTGCGCTGAGACGAAGCTGAAGCCGAAGACGAAGCTGAAGCCGAAGACGAAGCTGAAGATGAATTACTTGCGCTGCGAGCAAGCTGACTGGTATTCATAGTGAAAGACGTATTCGATGTGTATTAATTTTCATTAGCCTCATTTTTTTTGCACATCGATGTTTTTTTCCCCGATTTACTATCTTCTTTACTACTTGTCCACAAATGAATTTTTATTTTTGTATATATACTCTTATTCTCTTTTGTTTTTATTATATTCTTTGAATTTGTGAAAAGATCGTTTGTTTTTGACACCTTTTGTACCATATTTAATAAAAAACCTCAGATTTACAAATAAGTTGAAAAATCAAAATGAAGTGCCCCATGTATAGGCATCAATAAAATCGAATTGAAAATTCGTTAGTATAAGTTCAGAAGTTCGGAAGACTTAACTCCTATTCGATTCTTCGCAGTGCGACCGCTTGCCTTCGTGGCTGTACAAAAACTAACCCCATTTTACATTATTGTCTTATGTCTATATCTATTGGTCTATATATTTCCTTAAGACTACACCTCGCCGTTTGTTTTTATAAGGGTAAAAGGGTATAGTTTATATATTATTGATCAGTATGACACGACGAGTCGATATAACTATGTCCGCCTGTCCGTCCGTCCGTTGTACTTTTTTTCTAATACACCCCCCACTATATATGTATATATACTTGTATATATATGTTCGGCCATGAAAGTTTTCACTCTATTTCGCAGTTCAAAATTAAATAGCAGACCCAGCTATGGCGCTATATGGACTATGAGATTCTGGAGTGAATTGAAATATCCATTTATCCCCTATCGGACGTAGCTGTCTCAGATCGCCAAACACGATAACACAAATACCTCCGAAAGGAACTTTTTTGTTATTAATAACTTTAAGCGAGAGTCCAAAGAGAAGAACATTTAGGCGCCTGCCATGAAAATTTCGTATATAATAAGAACTGTAAGATCGGAGTGAATTCAGCAAATCTGCTCCCAATTCCTTAAAAGAAGACCAAGACTGGTTAGGTGGCAGTGCAAACATTGAGTGAAAAGTAGCACCACAATACAATTCTGTGCTCCCCAGCTCCTCCACCAACGAATTCACAACTCGTTATTATTGATAACATTACATTTTCTGAGTTTCGTGTCAATTTGATCATTGTTACTAATACAAAACTATTCACAATCTACAGTGAATCTATTAACTCTACCTTTTCATCTCTTCAAGGGTAACATATTTAATTCCCTTCAAAAATCCTGCCTATCATTATTTTAATCGTTTAAGACCGAGTTCGTATAAAAAGAACACCTGTATCTCAAAGACTACAAGAGATAGAGATACCACATTCTGTACAAAAATGTCTTATATGTGTACCCTGTGGAAGTTTTTTAGAATTTTCCTTCTTCCCCCACTCACCCGTTATAGGTGATTTTCCATGACTCCCGTAATTCTTGGAGTTTTTCAATCACGTTTGGCAATTAATCTCTAGCAAGGTCTGCCCGCGGGTGTTGTTGCTTTTGCTGCTTGGCTCAACTCTGAACTACACATGCTCCTGTGAGCATTCAGTTCACATGGACTTACATAGACATAGTTCCTATGTAAATGTGGAGTTGTACACCTTTAGCGTGAGTTCAAAAACCCAAGGACGTATGTATATCGATCTACACTTTTTGTTATACCCTGTACCCAAAGAGTAAAAAGATATACTAGTTTTGTGCGAATGTACGTAACTCACAGAAGGGGGCGTGGAAGACCCCTCAAAGCAAGGGCGTAGACAGGGGGGGCCGTTGCCACCTACACAAATTTTTTCCTTATAAAGTCGACCACACGTTCATTATAATGACGTACTATTTCGCCTTAGAATATAACTGAGTTGGATTTGTTGAAGTTTTTTCATTGATCATATGCATAAATTTTTTAAATGCAACATGCATTATTTATTCAACATTAAAATTTTTTTAATCTGTCTATCATGAATGAAACTTGGCATACGGACACATAATCACTAACTGGGGTACTTTCAAAATTTGAGATCACTAATTGATAGTGGGAAGGGGGCGGGAGGGAAATTCCAAAATACACATTTTCTGCGTATTTACATAAGGCATCTTGGGCTAATATTTGGTGCACCTAAGAGATATAGGTGATTATACGAACGGCGTTTCCGAAAATCAAGAAAACAAAACAAACTCGTACAGCGCACACACATAATCTACATCTTACATGTTTGTGTAAAATTTGGTGTCTCTAGCTCTTATATTCTCTGAGATCTAGGTGTTGATACGGACAGACGGACGGACGGACAGACTGACAGACAGACAGACAGACAAGCAGACATAGATCGTACCCAAAGGGTGAAAGGCTATACAAGTTTTGTGCGAATGTATGTAACACAACTCGACTCGTCTTCTCATCCTGATCAAGAATATATATACTCCTTCTGTGTGTTACATACATGCGCACGAAACTAGTATAGCCTTTCACCCTTTGGGTACAGGCTATAAAAATATTTTTTTTTTTCATTTTTTCCTTTTTTGTGGGAGGTACAGGATATTTAAGAGTTGAGCTTGCTCGACTTTAGCATTCTTTTCTTGTTTTGTTATATTTTAGATTTTCCCCTACTCCTCTCCATTATACAGAATTCGTCATACTGTACACATATTAAAAACTACATAAACCGAACTTGGCAAATGCAATCACTATACAATCAATAGTTTTGTTTTAGATTGTATATAAACGGTCAATTTTAAGAAAAACAATTATTAGCGAACAAATTTCACTGCAGTACTATGCTCGCAAACTGAAGCATCCTAATTTCGTCAATAATTTTCATATTTCGAAAGCTACGTAAACCGAACTTGGTATGTAGACTCTCCTAATATCTAGGCAACACATGTTTATTTTATTTTTTGATTTCCTCCCCTCTCTCACTACTAGAGAATTTCGTCAATACTGTCCACATTTCAAAAGCTACAAAGCCAAACTTTACACACATAATTTATACACAATTATCTATTTCCTTTTGTTTTAAGCGCATTTAACTCATAGCCGGAAGTTTGTCTGGGTACAGGATATTTTACTATCGGGCTTGCTCGACTCATTTGCACAAACCTAATACTATATATGTAAGTACTTCAGGTACATAGTATAAAAAAACCTTACCCATGAAAGCTTTAAAGTAAACTTTTTATTAATCTAAAGACACGCATATACTTATTATAAAAATTTACCAAATAAAAGTTGTTATGGTGACACAAAATTCTCCTTCTTTACGTTGTTTATAATACTTAATACTGTTTACAATACTTACACGGAACACTAAGCAGACTAAAACAAAGAAAGGAAATTGCTAATAGCGCTGCCATGCTTCCACTGACATGGTAATGGTTAGAAACGTATATGTCTTTCTTCAAACTTCCATTCAACCAGAAAATGAATGGGAATGTCATCGAGTATTGCGTTGCTTTTTCCACAAAGAAAACTGGGCAAACTATTTTATTTGATTATTTGAATTCTAATTATTTGACTCTATCAACAAATTTTTCTGTGCAGCTATATCGAGTCTCGCTGTTTCTTATTAAATTTTTAAAGACTGTTTCGTCATTGCTGTTGTTGCGGCTACCACTGGAATTGTTGTAGCCGATGAGTAAAAACAGGTTTACAGCAACGAAACTCCGATGCTTTTACCAATGTCTTTATTATTCAGTGCAAGAAAATCGTCAGCCACATAAACAGAGAACCGAGCTCGATGCTCAGCTTTGAGGTATTCATACGTATGTGGCGTTTGGAAAAGAGCGTGTTTGATCGTATGGAACACATTTTTTCCGGTTGCTGTGTTTAATAAATGTTGCTCTCATTGATACAATTGTTTTAACTTTGGATATGTACTCGTTATGTTCAAAATATGTGGATAGGAAAAATATATAATTTTAATAAAAGTTATATTATTTATTTATTTCTTAACCTTATCCTAGCGTTACAAGTACTTGTATCAGGTTACTTTTAAATTATTACGCTAGTCATTACAATTTTAATTATATCAATCTTATTATTAGGTTATTTTCATATTATTAATTTTAGTTTTAATATTAAACATTATTTTTATTCTTTATATAGTAATTATATTAAATATATATTAGGATTTTTAAATTAGTTTTATACTTAATCTATTTTGCCTACTCAACTTAGTGTGTGTTTAATATAATAATTTTTAGTAACGTTAATTTAGTTAATGTTTTGCAAGTGTGCTTTAATCTTAACTCTAAAGTGCGTTTCGCTGCTGATTGTTTTCAGGTTATGCGGTAACTCATTCCACAGATGAACAGCGGAAATAAAGAAATGCTTTTCCGAGCTTGCTAATTTAAATTTCGTGCAAACTATGTTATCGTACTTCTTGATGTGGTGAAAGTAATTTTGTCGTGTAAATAGTTCGATTCCTTACGTGTGATAACTTTATGCAAGAAGATTAGGGTTCTAAGTTTAATCCATTTATTTTGTTTTGGCTTGCAGCATCACAGTTTCCGAAAATTTCAATCCCATAAAATAGCAAGGGTGTCAGGCATGTCTTGGCAATAAGGAGCTTTAGTTGTACAGGTAGAAAGTTATGCGTTAAAGACAGACTCCTTAGTGCGCTATAAAGTTTTCCAACTGCCTTATTTACATGGTCGCACCAAGATAACGATTGATATATAGTTACAAGTATGCCTAGGTTTATTGGCTACTCTACGTACTCAATGGGCTCGTTGTTAAGTCATACATGCTCAAGATTGAGTGTGTTAATTTTAACTCGGAATTAGACACACAACATGGAAGATCATTGACATAAATTGAGAACAATAGTGGTCCTAAGACAGACCCCTGAGGGACTCCACGCTTTATAAATAAAAAAGACGAAAAATTATGCGATGTAACAACTGCTTGGTGACGACAGGACAGATAAGACTGGACAAGATTACTATAATAGCTGAGTCAGAGAAATTATAAAGTCTTTTCAATTTCGTGCACAGTGTGGTGTGATTTACGGTGTCAAAAGCTTTTTATACTCTGTACATGAAATGTACAAGAGTATATTAGGTTTGCGGGAGCTGAAAAATGTAACAGGCAGAAGGAGGCGTGGCAGACCCCACAAAGTATATATATTCTTGATCAGCGTGACAAGACGAGTCGATCTAGCCCTGTCTGTCTGTCCGTCTGTCCGTCCGTATGAACACCTGGATCTCAGAGACTATAAGAGATAGAGACACCAAATTTTGCACAAAGATGCCTTATGTGTGTACGCTATACAAGTTTGTTTAATTTTTTTGATTTTCCTCCCTACTTCCCCCCTATGGGGGTTTTCCCGATTTTCCATTCGTATAATCGCCTATATCTCGGAGACTATAAGACCTAGGAACACAAAATTTTAGTCCCAGATGCCTTGTGTGAATACGCAGAAAATGTGTATTTAGGAATTTCCCTCCCTCTCCCATGCAAATCGCGATTTTTTCCAACTCCCGTAATTCTTGGAATTTCGAACTTAACCTTAGCAAATACCTTTAGTTAGTTATTATGTGTCCGTACGCCAAGTTTTACCATGATAGACCGATTTAACAAGAAGTTATAGCCATAAATATATTTGCTGCTGCAGCGCTGCTCAAGCGCTGCCCGTGGCTGTTGTTGATGTTGCTGTTTGGTTGACTGCTAACATGTTTACACAGACACGAATAGATGCGCATAGGCATACATACACTCACACAGACGCAATTGCTAAGTAAATGTGCAATTATACACCATTTACGTGAGTTCGAATACCGAGAAAGGTAAAATGGATTAAAAATTTTTTTTTTTTTAAATTTTCTTAATTTTTTTAATTTTTTATAATTATTGTAAACATATGTACAGAGTATTTCAAAGTCGGGACACCCGACATTAGCTTTTTTACTTGTTAATAGTCAAGGAGGGTTAGAAAAGTTACCATATGTAAGGGGGTGTCAGGGGTCCCAATACAATATGCACACAATACAATGTATAATAAACGGTGTCTTCTTCTTTTCAATAGTAATACACATTATTTCAACGGACTTTATTTATACATACTTTTCGACTTTAAGACTGAATACATCCTCTTTCTGACGCTATTCTTTTTAAACATGTGTGTTGCCAGATATCTCTTATTCTTTTAAGGATGCCATATGGGGTATTTTATGATTAGATTTAAATATTAACGTTCGCTTATTAAGTAATCTCTATATATATAAAACAGTTTGTCCTGACTGACTGACTGACTGATTGGCAATCAACGCACAGCCCAAACGGTAAGAGCTAGGAAGCTGAAATTTGGACACAAGATCCCTCTTATAGTGAAAGTGAGCACTAAGAAGGGGTTTCGGAAAATTCGAGCTCCAAAGGGGGGAAAACGAGCTCCAACGTTTGTATGAAAAATCTACAATTTTTATCCGATTAACTTCAAACTTAGTTTGTATACTCTCCCAAAGAATACAAAAAAAAACTGTATACTTGGATTTTCAATATTTTTCCTGCGGCCTGAATAATAATGATTTTCCGGTGGAAAATTCGTTAAACGAAAAGCTATGTGCAATCAACGCACAGCCCAAACGGTTAGAGCTAGGAGGCTGAAAATTGGACACATGTTGTCTTCAGTGGTGTAGGTGAGCACTAAGAAAATTTGGAAAATTCGAACGCCACAAACACAATCAACACCCCACAGCCCAAACGGTAAAAGCTAGGAAACTGAAATTTAGGCTCAAGTATCCTATCATGGTGTAGATGCGCACTAAGAATGGATTTCGGAAAATTCGAGCTCCAAAGGGGGGAAAAGTAGCTCCAATGTTTGTTTGAAAATTCTGCATTTCTGAATCGATCAACTTTAAATTTGGTTTTTATAATCTATAAAAGAATATAAAAAAAACTGCTTACTCGGTTTTTCGAAATTTGTGTTGGAGCTTGAATTATTGGGGTTTTAATATTTATTCATTTTTTCAAATGAAAAGTTTGTGTTATAAATTTCGTCCGATCGATTTCAAATTTGGGTAATATAATCTACGTAACTAAATTTACAACTTTGCATTCAAGGATTTTGAAAATATGCATTTTACAAAAGCAGGCAGAACAAACAATACAAAATATCAAACAGTTGGGGACAACTAAGTATACATACACACACATACATACATACATACAAGCAGCTGTTCGTGTAGTTGCGTGCAAACAGTTGAAGTAGCCAAAGCAAAATGTGAGACGCTAATGTGTGAATGTTCATTTGTACACATGTATGTACATACATATGTATGTATAAAAGTACATTCGTCTTGCACTGACAGGGCAAGAAATGTTAATTAATTAAAAATTATTACAATTATAACATAAACATTTTGATGTTATTTTTTCTTTGTTTAGTACATTTGGCATAAGGGGTTTTTTAGGACAACGGACTACAAGGGCGTACGCAGGTTGGGCAGGGGGGACATTGCTCCCCTTAGAAAGAATTTCGCATTATGAATTACACCAGCACCATATGTATTACATACGTACATACATATGTATGTACATACGTCTGTATGTATAGTATGTACATATGTACATCAATAAGTATGTATGTATGTACGTTCATACATTCCTATATACATATATAGGTTGCATACATATAGCAGTGGGCCATCCAACACTGTTGTTTAATTGTAATAAATAGTGTTCTATGTTTTCAAATCAAAACTTTTAAAACAACAACAACAACAAGTTATTGGCTCGCAAATCTTCTTTCGTTTTGATAATTTACGGCTGTTAATTGCATACGCAAAATGCCAAAAGTTTACAGTTACCGTACACATACAAATACATTTGTATGTATGTATGTATTTACATATGTGTACAGTGAACAATCGAATACAGTATTATAATCAATAACTCTCAAACGATGTTTTTCGATGAATTTGTATTCGACATGTATTACGATATATCAACACAAGTATCGATATTTTCGATATATCGCATTTAATTTTATTATTGGGGTTTTAATATTTATTCACTTTTTCAAATGATTAGTTTGTGTTATAAATTTTGTCCGATCGATTTCAAATTTGGGTAATGTAATCAACATAACTATATCAACAAATTGGCATTCAACGATTAAAATATAGCAATATGTTTTTTACTTGCCATATATCAAATAGTTGGCGACATCACATACACACACTCACACATACATACAACAAGCAACAGTTCGTGTCTATGTGTGCCCATGCATTAGAGATGGGCACGGGCCGGCTATTTTCGGCCCGACACGACACGGCCACGAAATTAACTTTTAGAAACACGCACGCGCACGCACGACGAAAATTTTTCTTAACACGGCCCAACACGGCCCAACACGAACTTTTTATATATTAAATATAAAAATTAAAAAAAAGAAAAATATATATATATGTACATAAACATTACAAATTTTTATTCAGAAAGATTATCTTATCAATATTTGAGCTAAGAAGCCGAGTACGTCGCTCATTTAAAATATGTCCAGAAGTGGAAAAAACTCGTTCGCTTGTTGCAGAGCTGACAGGGATATTGAGTATATGCCTTGATAATTGCCTTAGCATTTTAAATTTTGTTGATTTTTTCCAGAATGTTAGCACACAAATTCCTGGATCAACAACACTACTTATATAATCATCTATTTCAATATCCATTCTTGACCTGTCCAATTTAATTTTTTTTTTAATTATTAGTGTCCAAAAATT